GGCAATTCTGAGCTCTGAGATGCCCCTCGGTAAATTCAGACGGCCTTAAGCAGCATCTCTGGGTGGGTGGGGCCAGCACCATAGACAAGTCTGGGCTCCATTTTGCTCTTGCCGGTCCCCACTCCTGCTAATGTCTCTCCCTACTCAGCCCTGGCACCTCCCGTTGGCTTTCACGGCTCAGTATGCAGCCCCGACTCTTGGGGCCCATTGAGCCAGGGGCCCAAGTGAAGGCCCTGTCTCCTCGCCCTCCCCACCACCTAGACAGCAGGGCCTGAGCTCTTCAGAGAACCCCTGGCACGAGCACAGGGCCCTGCGCTCAGAAAGCGTGCAGGCGTGCAGGTGTGCGAGGGAACACGCCCCAGCAAGGATCCCTGCTGAGAATACAGGAAAAGCAGGGATAAGGCTGCCTCAGAGGGAGTGGGGGTGCCATTGAGGACGTGAGAACCTACAGGAAGGGCCAGGACTCGGCCAGGACAGCAAGACTCATGAAACCCAAGCAGCAGGGCTACCCAGAGCTTTCGGGAACATCACTGCATGATGGAGGGAAGGGGGGGGGGAGTCAAGGCTGGAACCTGGGTCTCTGGCTCTCCAGCACCCCTGGGAAAAGAGGCCCACCTGGCAGGAGCCCTGCCCTAGGTCGTGTTCGGGTTCCATGCCTATAGGCGTTGGGGTAGCCAGTGCCAATCCCTGGCAGCTCTGAGCTTTGATGGCTGGACGCATCAGGGCCAGGTGACTTGAGGACATGAGAGTCCCAAGCATGACCCATTTGGGACAGCCTAGCACTGCTCGGGGTAGGCACAAAGATGACCTGGGACCCAGGGGAGGGTCATCTGCAGAGGCTTGGCCAGTCTGGGGTGGATGGCAAGTCCCACACCCCAAGCACCTAATCCGGATCCAGTGGAGAGCTGACGTGGAAGGAACCGGGTCAGATGAGGTCGTAAGAGTGGGGAATTATATTGGTTTAACTATAAAAGAAGCACAGATACAAAGGCTCCTATCAAGCAGCTTGATTCCCACAGAATAGTGGGCCGTCTGCCCGAGCACATCTTGCTTCGGAAGTCACAGGTATGGGAGGGGCAGGGGAGGAGAGTACCTTGGGGCAGTGTCCCAAGCCTAACTGTGACCTTGGATGTGCTGACTGGGTGGCGGACGGTGGGGCCTTTGTGTGGCTGCACCACTTGGGTGTCTTGGGCTGGACAAGCTTTGAGGGACTCTGCCTGTCACAGGGCAGGAAGGAGGAGAGGCTCAGCGAGGCCCAGGGGCATCAATCTCCCTGCTCAGCCTCCGGAGGACAGCAGAGACTCGGGCAGAGTGGGATGGAGGCCAGAGCCTGCTGAGTGGGGAGTCTGGTGGACTCTGTGCCTCTGAAAATCTCTTCGGAGAAGGGAGGGGAAGAAATCAAGTCTTGGTTTAGGTATCCAGTGCGGACAGGCAAAGAAGAGTTCTGCGGAGATCCTGGGGTGATGCAGGGTCCCTGCCTAATGAGGCTGGTCCTGTGTGAGCCCGCCAACCCCCCGTATGCTCTCTACCCAGCTTTGGGCATTGGACTGTGCCTGCCCTCCACAGCCCAAGCTGATTAATGGGGTGCGCTGGCAGGAAGGGTGGGGAGGACAGGGTTGGGGTATTCTCCCCCCTCGCCACGGTCGCAGCTCCCACCGGGGGGACCCCATCTGCACTTCTGCTCTCCCCAGGCTGGACAACATCCTTCCCTGCCCCCCACCCCTAGGGCCCAGTGCCAGTCTCTGGGGCCTCCGTCCCTGTTGTTCCCCTTTACCTGCCCTCCACTGCTCCTGTTAGCTATCCTACACTCAAACCCTCTCCTCAGGACTACCTGGGGATGAAGGGTGGGGAAGGGTCTATGCTGGGGGTCTAGGGCTCCAAATGGGAGGTACCACGTGGAAGTGGGCACAGAGAACGGCAAACCCCAGCCTCAACTACAGGGGCTGCTGGTCACCTCTCAGGGGCCCCTAACAGGTACCTTGTAAACCGTGACCTCTGTGTGGGCAGAACTTCTGATTTTTTCAGTCTTTTTTACAAGAGACCCTCAACTTTTAAGTATTATCCGTTTTAAAACATTTTAAAAACACCAGAAGCCAAAGACAATTACCGTGAAGAGTTAGACTCGGCTGGGGGGTGGACAGCTGGTGCTCTGGGCTGGAGAAGGTGAGGCTTGGTGCGGGGGGTCCTGCACCCCTCTGCAGGACACAGGTTTGAGTCCTCTGTAGGCCTGAGAAGCTCCCCAGCCAGGGCCTGAGGTTTTGGAGGGGAGAAGCTGTTATTTCAGGCAGGTTTGAACCTGCCCTGAGCCCGGTCAGTTTGCTGCTGTCCTGAGGGCCCAAGGCTGGGCGACACCACAGAAAATTTAAGAATAATGGTGCCTGTGGGCGGGAGCTTGGGAAGGAGCAGGGCTGCACCATTCCTGACTGGGGCTTGCAAGCAGGCTGAAAAGGGCCTGGACCTCTGCGAAGCCAAGAGCTCACCCTCACACCCAGCCAAGGCCCCTGGGGGTGGATGCAGACAGGTGTGGGGGAGGACTGCCGGCGGACTCTCATTCCAACCACCTCACCTTGTCACAGTCACTTCCCTTCCCAGAGGCCCTCTGCATCATCCTGATTACAGGTCCCTCCAGGTAAAGCTCCAATCCCAGGCCCTACTGCATTCATTCGGCTGCCCTAGCCCACTGCCCCTCAGTCCTCATTCTCATCCATTCTGGGTAAAACCCTCGCATTTAGCAGCATTGATCCCTCACGCACCGGTGGCCCCGTCAGCAGGGCCGGTGAGCAGTGAACACCTGGCCCACCTGCTACAGTCCCACTTGCTCATCACCTGCAAGGGATCGCCCCTGCCTCTGTCAGGTGTCATGGCATTTGGAGTGGATGGCTGCCTCCACGAGGCCCCTCCAACAGGTCATCGCCTACCTCCACCGTCCCAGGACCTGGAGAGGGTCCCAAGGCCGGGGGTGGGCCTAGCTCCGGTCTGGCACTCAGCAGGTACTCCCTGCACCTTGGTTGCATTAGGAATTCCGACTGGGCTTGGGGAGGGACTAGGCTCGGAGCCCAGGGATCTCATGGGGAGAGTCAAGGGGGAGGCCGGGGTTGGAGTGTCCAGGGGTTGGGGCCAGGGTCTCGGGGGGGGGGGGGCGCTGGGGTGTCCAGGGCTGGAGTCAGGGTTTCAGGTCGAATCAGGGAGCGCTGGGGTTCCCAGAAGTGGAGTCGGGGTCTCGGGTCAGAGCAGGGGGCGCTGGGGTTCCCAGGGGAGGAGTCGGGGTCTTGGGTCGGGACAGGGGGCCCTGGGGTTCCCAGGAGTGGGGCACCGGGGTCCCCAAGGGTGGGGCCGGGATCCGGGACCCAAAGCGCCCTCTCTCACACGCCGAGCGCTTCCTCTCCCTCCACGCACGCCCCCTCCGGGAGCCGCGCTCGACCCCGCGTGACCGGAAGTGGCCCCCCGTGGGCGCGGGCGGGGCGGGGCCCGGCGGCGGCACTTCCGGTGCCCACGCGCCGCCGCCGCGCAGCTCCGGGGCCGTCACTTTGTGTAGCGCGGGGCGCGCAGGCCCGGCCCGGCCCCGGCGTCCGGCGGCGGCTCGGCCGGCCCGGCG